AACTGCAACGAGACAGCTGCAGTCTACGGTGTTTAAAATTGTTTGATCTTGAGAACAGCCGTTGGTCAACTTTTGCGGGATATTTACATAAAGGTCTTAGGGAAAGTCGGGGTTCTAGCAAGGTTTGTACTAGTTATTACAAATACTCAAATACAACTAAAAATTTTTGGTCATTTGTACTATTTATATAAAAGGGGACCGGAAAAACGGCTCCAATCAAAAACTTATAATTCGTATAGAATTACGAAATTTGTTGTGGTCATAGACAACGATCGTTAAAGGACAAATAAATTTTACCTGAGTAAAATCTGTGCATAAAAAGTGAATTAATTATTATTTGATATTCGCCCGAGTCTGGCTCGGACACAGGTGAAAATTGTAATAACAGTTTACAATTTTCTTAATTGTGTATTCTAACAATACTGATCATAATTTGTAATGTTTTAATTAAGTACTTGTGCAAAATTCTGCAGAATATGTAGACTTTCGTTCTTAAATTGTTTTAATCTCAAGATTTTTTTGCAGAATTTTCAATTTCTTACTCGAAATTTTTGTTCTTTTCTTTCATTATTATATTAAAAAATTATTCATTGTTGCTTAGAAATAATTTTAGTGTCTAGTGTCTAGAACAAATTAATTAGATTTACATTGATCTATATAAAAATAATTGCCTCGGTTTTCGTTAGTTTCGGATTTCGCCGATTGTTTTCGAAAACAGAAAACTTTTCAGATAATCTAAGTTTGATTATACAAATAAATATTTGGCTGCAAAATATTATTACATGTGTACTTATTTTTTTACCGAATTTAAAGTAAAAATATCAAATTACTAGTATATTTACCAATACAGGGTTTTTTATCTGATTGCCGGTGAAGCAGTAAACCGTTTATCGGCAATGCAATCCCTAATCGACGATCACAGCATACCCACTCACTCATATCTGCGTTACGTAATTTATGCACAACTTTGAAGTTAATCGTTAAGTGTTAAAAACTGCACATTAAAAGTTTATCTATATATATAACCCATTCAACTGTCCGTCTGTCCCGTAACCGTTTGATAACGGACACTAGAGGCGCCCCTATCGTGTGTCATATTTAAAACATTCAAATTAAATTAACAATTTTAATTATTATTTAAATTAACAATATAAATTATTATTATTCATTTGGCCAATAAATTATTATTTGCCCAATATATAACAATATAAATAATTCAATATATTTGTAATAGGAATTTATTATTGTCACGGAATGCCTGTAATGTTCACTAGGGGGCGAATAACGAAAAACCAGATAGATTTGAACCACTACGATAAAACGATAAGGTTTGAAATAGTTAAGGTAATATTTTATTATAATAATAGAAACCTTTCATGGCACGACCAAAGAAATACGCCACTGTGGAGGAACGTAAAGCTGCCGCTGCTGCGAGACAAAGGGAGAGACGTGCACAGGAAACATTACAGAGAATAGCACAATGAACACGTGGAGGCTTGCAGAATGAAACTCATGAGCCTCAGGAATTTGTAATGCTGCTGGAACGCCCACTAGGGGGCGTCCCGGGCTACTAGTCTATTATAAATGTATAACACTTCTCCGTGGGGGGGATTTTTCAAAAAATTCCTTCTTACTGTACATTCTCTTGACGTACCCTATTAAAATACAAAAAACTGCATCTAAAATAGTATAAATAGAAGCAGAGTTCTTCACGATAAGCCTTAATCCTGTTCATCTCCCCCCTAGTGGGGGGAATTTCGACATGTATATTATATAAAAACACGTACATATTTGAATACAACGTTGTGTCAAAATTTCAAAGGAATTGGTAGGAACAAACGAACATTACATTTTTTATTTATGTAGATAGATGATGATCTGCTTTAGTTCATCTTCACAGAAAAGTAAACTTAGATTGTCGTACTCACAGAGTTACCGCCATCTGTTGGACATAAAAGCCTTAATCCTTTTAATTTATATAAATGTTTAATGGAAAAATGTTCAGCCTATGTCCACCCTGAAGTTCCATTCTAAATATTGGTGAAAGAATTTTTGAAATTGGATGAGTAGTTTCAGAGATTACCTCCTACATACCAACTTACAAACTTTATCTCTTTATAATATTAGTATAGATGTACTTTCAAAATAAAGTAAATAAATGTCAAGAAAGCAGAGGCATTAATCTATTAAATTCAGTAGTAATTTAGAAATATTGAAAAAATTAGTTGGAATGGAATTCAAACTTGAAAATTTTGTAAACTGGACAAGTGTATAACAAATTGCCCACTAGATATGTAGTGAGAAACTTGCTTCTAGACCAGCATTTCTTTGAAAAACATTTCTTGTAGCTACGCCTGTATGTAATCATAAGGATTTTTTACAATATCTAAATTCATTTGCATTTAGGATTTTATTGTCCAAGACAAACCTCAGTTGAAACTGTCAAATGATGAATATTTTGAAAATATTGTGAG